GGAGGAAGTGGGAGGGGAGCTGTTGCATTGTGGTAAACTGTGGTCAATGACATGTGACAATGTATATGTGAACTGCTGTATGGAGAGTGAATTTGCTCTGTAAATCTTCACCCAAATCACAATAAATAAAAGAACAAAACAAAACAAAAAAAAACCTTCATTCCCTAAAGAATTTCATTTCTTAGCCTTTCTTCACAAAGTTTGGTTTGTCTATTATTGTCTCAGTTGTTATCCTAGGCCCAGGAGGCAGTGGCTAATAAAGTTGCCTTTAGAGGTTTTTGACAAATGCCCCTGCTAAGCTACCCCAGCTCTGGCAGAGCTCTGTGTTGGGCAAACTATTTTGATAAAGGCAAACTCTTTGAGCTGGTCATTTAGAGAGCCATTAGACAGGTCAAAACAAATAACCACAACTTGTTGGCAGTAAGGTCTCTGTTGTTCCCTCTGCTAGTAAGAATCTGTACCAGGAATGCATCCTTGTCTTCACAGTTGCCATAGAGCTAGGGAATAGGAAGTGGTAGCAATTTAAAGTTAAACCACAGTGAAGCTTTCACTAAGGCTAAGGTTGGTTGGTTGGTTTTTTTATTAAGCATTACCCTAGTTGTTGTAGTTTTGCTTGGATTTTAGAGTTCCAAGAAAAGGTAATTCTGACAGTTTTTGCCTGTTTATTCATTGCTTTTGTGATAGGACAGACGTTCTGAGTTCTCTACCATTTTCACTGACATCGTCCATGTCTTTTAAGAATTATCTGTTTCAGGTTGGCTTTTATTATTATTATTATTCAGGAAGATTCTAGAGAATTTTTATATTCCTGCTCAATGAAGGGATCTGAGAAATCAAAACTAGTAAAAAAAAAAAAAGGAGGTGGAAGTTGTTGGCATAATGGAGTGTTTGACCTAGAAATGGTATTAAAGGATCCCCCTCTGCCCCCGTTAAGTATGGGTAACTGAGAATGAAGTCCTGTTTTTCATTGCCTGAGGCTTTTCTCATTTCCTTTAGGTACCTGGGAATTCTATGAAATGCATTATATCTCAAAATTATTTTGTTGCATAAAAGTCAGTTTTTAATTGTGTTTCAGAAGTCACCCAAAATTTGAGAAATATTTGGGAAGAAAAGCAGTGCACTGATATTGTGGGAGTAGCTCAAGATTTGCTGTCTAAGCTTTGCTATGGGACTTTGGGACTTTGGACAGGTAACAGTCCTCTCTAAGCTTCATTCGGTCCATTAGGGACAATGTTTGCATTTACAGCTGTTAACAAGAAAGAAACATGTCAGAGAGATGAATACACTCAAGTATGTGCATCATCAAGTTTGTGTTTCCATTGTTAACCAGTTGGTGCTTCTTTCTCCCTTGAATTCCCCACCATCTAGGATTTTGGAGGCTGCCCGATGTTCCCATTTGACTGACGCAGGCTTTACACTTCTAGCTCGGGTAAGGCATATATTTAAAAAAAATTAAAAAAAACTCTCATTCACCTCCCTAGTTTAAAGTGAGTCAGAGTGGTTTTGGAGCATGCAAAAAAAAAAAAAAAAAAAACTATCCACGGAAATGACAGGCACTGGTAGCATAGTGCCTAGGGCACTTGACTGCCAACCAGGAAGGCTGGCGGTTCAAACCCACCGGTCACTCCTCGGAAGGAAGTTGGGGCAATCTACTTCCTTAGTGATACTGCCTCGGAAACCCAAGGAGGGGTCACTGTGAGTTGGGTCCAACTCAATGGCGCATAACAACAACAATGTAAAAGAGAGCCCTCAGTGTCTATCTGCTGTTTTTTCCCTGTTGACCAGAAATCTGGGGAGGTCCTGTAGAGGGTTCAGGCCTCACTCTCACATCGACACATGGGGCCGCCCTGAGTGGGGCCCCTTCTCTGACAAGAGATGCCCTTCCTCATAGGGACCCCAGCCTAGCCCCTCAACACCTTTCTCTTGCTAGCCTGTGCTTTGCCCTCTGCTGTTTCTTCTCCAATATTGCCCTGAAATGCCAGTCACTGTAGGGCCCTGGCTCGGCCTGCTTCCAGGAAACCTGTCTTCCTTGGAATATTGATATACTCCTTCTCCCACCCCACCACCCACTCACCTCAGTGTGGCTGAGCACCCCATCCCCAGTGCTCTCTTGTAACTTAGACCTGGTTCTTTCTTCTATTCTGTGGCTCAAATAATTTTATATGCTGATATGTGTGAGCCACTGGGAAGGTATAGGGACCTATCTTTCTAGGTTGAGAGAAGGAAATGTAACCCAAGGCAGCATTATTCTCATTTCCAAAGAAATTTTGATTCAAATGGCACCCTCTTGCTCAGAAGTGCTATTTCATGAAGTTGTTGTAGGAGTAGGACTTACACCTTAACAGAAGAGAACAAGGACACTGGGCCAGCAGTCAGAGGGACAGGATGAGCCAGCAGTGTTTCCCTGACCACTGACCTGCATGGGGGGGTTGGGGTGGTCTTATGGACTCTTTCAGAATTGCCACGACCTGGAGAAGATGGATCTTGAGGAATGCATCCTGGTGAGTGGACTCCTTCTGACAGCCCTGCAGAGCAGCCCCTCACTCAGCACAGAGAGCCAAGCACAGCTACAGTCTGGACCCTCTCTGCTGCAGCATAGGTGGCAGGGCATGGGGCCATGTCCATGAGGGCCGTGGCAGTGGGATGTGTAAATTCTTCGCACTCCTCAGTCATTCGGCAGAACTAGAGCAGAGAAGTCCAGGACAGCATCTTTTGCCTTTTGTCCCCTAAGTTAGTCCTTTGATTTTAAATAGAACTTAAAGGAGAAATACACTTGCATGTCTGGTGATGGGATGTCTCCAAAGGATCTTGGATTCCCCTCTTTTTTGTCCTCTGTCCCTACATACCCCTGGGGCACCAAAGGGGGGAGGCCAGAGAACAGTTTTGTATCTCTAGGAACGGGCAGGTTGAGGCTGGTGGTAAAGAGAGGCGCTTCTGCTTGAGCAGCTTGAGGTGTGTTTTTAATTACCTTTTGATTCTTATGCTCAGATGTGCTTGCTTCACCAAAGCCAGGATTAGGTATTAAGTTCTGATAGATAATGGAAGTGCAGAAGCCATGGTGACACAGCATGTCTCTCCCCAGATAACTGACAGCACGCTGATCCAGCTCTCCATTCACTGTCCTAAACTTCAAGCCCTGGTGAGTCTTCTGTGACATTATTCACCTCTTAGGGATGAAGTGACCCTATACCACAGCAAGAATCTGTTTTGGTTCCCTTTCTATAAAAGTATCATTCTAGGTTTCAAAAATCTGTTAATTGGGCTAGCTTGGGAAGCGGAGTGTCTAAATGTTAGCGTTTTAATTTTGAGATGTAAACCTAATCACGTTCTTGTTAGTTGCCATTGAGTCAATTCTGAGTCATGGTGACCCTATGTGAGTAGTGTAGAACTACTGCACGGGGTTTTCAAGACTGTCATCTTTTGGAAGCAGATCTCCAGGCCTGTCTCCAAGGACCCTCTGGATGGGTTAGAACCACCAACCTTTCCACATCCTTACTACTGCATCCAAATTCATGTGCAGCAATTCGATCAGCTAGAGTTGTAGGCCATCTTTGTGTTAGCATAGTGCCTAAGGCACTTGACTGCTCACCAAAGGGCTGGCAGTTCAAACCCACCAGGCACTCCTCAGAAGGAAGGTTGGGCAATCCTACTTCCATAGTGATACTGCCTCGGAAACCCAAGGAGGGGTTGCTGTGAGTCAGGGCCGACTCGACGGCAAACAACAACAACAACTCATAAATAAATTTTAGGGTAGAAAGTAATTAAAATATATTGATGATCAAAAATGAGCAGTGAAAAGAGTTGCTGACACTTTTCACTAGACATGTCATACACTTTCACATCCAGCTCTTTCTCTGGGTGCCTGGAGCAGATGGAGGGATCGCCATTCGTTGGGTAAGCCCATGTATAGGAAATTGTGCTAGGCCCATTATATGTATCATCTCATTTAATCCCACCAATTGTCCTGTGATGAGAACACTTATAACATCCTTGTATTATCAGTGAAGATGCTTAGGGAGGTTAAGGAACTTGCCTAGAGTCACACAGCTACTGAAGGATCTCAGATCTCTTGACCTCTGCAGAATCTGGTCTTTCTACTGTCGCAGAATGGAAGCCCATTTCTCTTAGGCCAGCTTTCTCGTCTGTCTTCTTTGAAACTTATTCTGTCCTCAAGAGCTAAAGTTTCACAGCATCATGAAAGCCCTGTTTGTCCTTGGATTACTCTCTCTACCAATTTTCCTTCTTTCTGCATTCCTTCAGGACACTGTTTCCCTTTGGACATTGTTTCCTTCAGGCATAAATGGGGGCTCTGGATACTCCTGGGACGTTTTTGTGTTTGAGGTCAGATTTCAGAAATCAGTAGGAACCCAGATGCTTCCAAACTCTCTGAATAAATTGTTTCTCTCTACGTATTGAAGAAGCCCTACTGGCACAACAGTTAAGCACTGTGCTGCTAACGAGAAGGTTTGCTGGTCAAACCCACCCAGCAGCTCTGTGAGAGAGAGACTGGCAGTCTCCTTCTGTGAAGATTACAGCCCAGCATGAAATTAGATGTGCATGAACTGTTGAATGTAAAACAAATTGCTTTGTAAATTTGCACCCAAAACACAATAAAATCTAAATTAAAAAAAAAAAAAAAAAGTTGTATCTCGTTGGCTACTTGCAAGCTTTTACATCCCAGAAAACCTTATGGGACAGTCATCCTCTCATGGGTTCGCTATGAGTCAAATCAACTCTTTACCACCCAACAACAGCAAAGTATTTTGCAAATAGTTTTGTACTTCTATTGATGTCTTTATCACCAAATTGTTTCATATCTGATTTTTCAATTGACAGAGCCTGTACCTCTGATGTGCTTTTTCCTTTTATCCTCTCCAACCTTTGGTCACCCTGAGATCTCCTGTCCCTCAAAAATGTGGGGAAACTTAGGAACTCTACCTTTTTCCTTGCTTTCATCTCCTTCCTTCCTATTTCCCTTAAGGGCTATTTTTGTCCTACCCTGACTTGAATCCACAAGAAATCCACTTGCATCAGACATAGAGGGACCCTCTGAGGAATTAAACTGAGCACAGCAAGGCCTTCCACCAGCTCCTAATTCTTGCCCTTCCTCTTAAGTCGTCAGGGGGCAGGGTCCACCCCAACGACTTGTCAGGGCATGTCTTTTGAGAAATGTTCTCCCTAGCAGAGATTCTGTTCTGGTGACTTAAAATCTCCATCTCATCCCCTGTACTTACACAATCTTCTTCCAGAATGGGGACTTAGAGAGAAAGATAAACTGTAGTAGTCCAAGATAAAAGCCCGGCTTAAAAACCATGAAGGATTATTACCAGAAAAGCAGGGACACAATTACACTTGAAATCTAACTTAGCTTTGAGATTCTTTTTCTTTTTTAAAAAAATTGTGACTTGGGTTAAAGTTTACAGAACAAATTCATTTTCCATACAGCAATTCATACACATTTTGTTTCATGGCATTGATTGCTATCCCCATAATATAACAGCTCTTTTCCCACTTCCTCCCTGTGGTGACCTTTTCCCTGTGTCCTTCTTTTCGATGCATTCTTGCCCTCTGAACTTTCTCCCTGCATAAATGCTGCCCTTCTGATCTCCAGTGATTGATTGTTCTAAGTAGTGTACCTTCCTGGTATAAACGTTCACCTTACATGCCTATCTTTTGTTTGGCTGGAAGCAACAGGAGTGACTTCAGTTCCAGGCCTGAACAGTGGCTAGAGGCCATAGTCTCAGGGGGTTCACCAGTCTCTATCAGACCAGTAAGCCTGGTCTTTTACATGATTATGAGTTTTGTTCCACATTTGTTCTCCCACTCTATCCAGGATCTCCTGCACTGATCCCTTTCTGAGTGGTTGACAGTGGTAGCTGGGCACCATCTAGTTCTTCTGGTCTCACAGTCATGTAGGCTGAGGTTCACATGGTTCACTAGTCCCTTGGACCAGATGTTTCCATGCGTCTTTAGTTTTCTTCATTCTTCTTTGCTCTGGATGAGAGTAGACTAATTGTTGTATCTAGATGGCTGCTTGCAAGCTTTTAGACCCTAGGTGCTACTCAAGAAAGTAGGATGTAGAACTGTTTTTGTGTCTTGTATGTTATGCTAGTTAAGCTTGATGTCCCCTGCAACCATGGTCCCAAGCCCACAGGTCCAGCAACTCGCTCCCTCAGGGTGGTTGGCTCTGGTTAAGAAGTTGTAACTTTGCCCCCATTAGCTCTATTTATATGGACATTCTTTCAGCACCTACAAATACGTATGTAGAAATATCATCTGCCAGACTTACATATGATCGTGGATACATTCTCTTTTGCCTAGGAACACCTGACCATTCAGCCTGACTACCTGTATATCTACCCATAAAATAATGTTTGTTATTACTGATAATATAGTATCGTACATGTGTAAGTGTTTCTCTTTGTTTGTACCTCTTCTGAACCTCTTTGTGTCTTCCTTTTCCTTAGTGTTTTGTATTGGTCACTCACTTTTGGTATATTGGCTTTCCCTTCACCCAAATTAATACTTGTCTCTTAAGTTGTCTAGCAATTTTCCCTCCCCTCCTGTCTGCTCCCGTGCCATCTCTGATAACCAACTAAGTTTCCAAAGTTTCCTTGACTTTTTACAATAGTGAAGTAATACAATATTTGTCCTTCTGTGTTTGACTTACTTCACTCAGCATAATGTTGTCCAAGTTCATTCACATTATGAGGTGTCTCATGGATTCTGCGTTATACTTTCGTGTTGTATGGTGTTCAACCTGTTGATGGACACTTAGGTTGTTTCCATATCTTTGCTATTGAAAATAGTGCCACAATGAACATATTGTTCTTTTGTTGTTATGTGCCGTTGAATCGTCTCAGGCTCATAGTGACCTTATGTACAATAAAACACTGCCTGGTCCTGTGCCAGCCTCATGACCCCTACTACACCTGAACCCATCATTGCAACCACCGTGTCAGTCCATCTTGTTGAGGGCCTTCCCCTCTTTTGTTGACCCTCCAGTTTTCCAAGCATGACATCCTTCTCCAGGGAATGGTCCCTTCTGACAACATGACCAAAATAGGTGAGACGAAGTCTGGCCATTCTCGCTTTCAAGGAACATTCTGGCTGCATTTCTTCCAGGACAGATTTGTTAGTTCTTTTAGCAGTCCAGGGTACTTTCAGTGTTATTCACCAACACCAGATCTCAAAAGCATTAACTTTCCTTTGGTCTCCCTTATTCATTATCTAGTTTTCATCTACATAGGAGGCAACTGAAAATACCATGGCTTGGGTCAGGTGCATCTTAGTCTTCAAAGAGATATCTTTGCTCCTCAGCCCTTGAAAGAGGTTGTTTTCAACAGATTTGCCCAATGCTATACATCTTTTGATTTCTCGATGGCTGCTTCCATTGGCATTGATTTTAGAACCAAGTAATATGAAGTCTTTGGCAACTTCAGTCTTTTCTTCATCTATTGTGATGTGGCTTATTGAACCAGTTGTGAGGATTTTTTTTTCCTTTATATTGAGGTGTAATCCTTAGTGCAGACTGTAGTCTTTAATCTTCATCAGTAAGTGCTCCAAGTCATCCTCACTTTCAGCAAGGAAAGTTGTGTCATCTGCCTATCTCAGGTTGTTAATGAGCCTTCCTCCAATCCTGATGCCATGTTTTTCTTCATACAGTCTGGCTTTTCGGATTATTTGCTCAGCATATAGATTGAATAAGTATGGGGAAAGGATGCAACCCTGACACACTCCCTTCCGGATTTTAAACCTTGCAGTGCCCCGTTGTTCTGTTTGAATGATAGCTTCCTGGTCTGTGTACAGGTTCTTCATGAGTACAATCAGGTGTTCTGGAATTCCCATTCTTCTCAGTGTTATCCACAATTAGTTATGATCCACACAATCAAATGCCTTTGCATACACAATAAAACACAAGTAAACATCTTTCTGGTATTCTTTGCTTTCAGCCAAGATCCATCTGACATCAGCAATGGTATCCCTCGCTCTATGTCCCCTTCTGAATCCAGCTTGCATTTTTGGAAGTTCTCTGTCAATATACTGCTGCAACCGTTTTTGAATTATCTTCAGAAGATTACCCTTGTGTGTGATATCAGTGATACTATATTGTTTAATAATTTCCACATTCTGTAGGAT